GTAATGGGCAAATTTTCTTTTACCTTTCTGTCTACTTGGAAAATATCTCAAGAACCTCTGAATGTGCTTTAAAATATCCTTTACAATTCCACGCTCGATATCTCTCTCTGCTCCTCTAATTGTCCCTTTTAACTCACTGCACTTTCTGTATAAATCTCCCAGCCTCCTCCTTCACAGGCTGTTAATAAATACAGTCTCTTAAAAAAAATACATAAACATCTATTGTTGGCTAAATAACTCACAGCACAATCAAAAAGCCAGAGAAAAAGAGAGAGATGCTCAGCATGATGAATGCCCACCCGCACTCTCTCTAGTTGTTCTGTCTCTGTTAAGAGGGCTGCTGGGATCAGGGGAGTTGATGGTCCTAAAAAGTCCACTGGCTGCCGGGACCAACCGTGCTCACAGGAAGAAGAAAGAAGAGAAAGAGAGGAGCTGCGGGGCGTATTGCCAGGGCTCCCTCCAAGAGCAGGGAGGGGACAAAGGAGACCCAGCGCAGGGAGCAGTGGCTAATTTAAGTGTCATTTCAGTGGGCCCCTTACCTCTAAAAGAAGTGGGTCAGCCTCCTCCAACACACAGCGCCAGCCCGCACTGCCAGCCCACCCCCCAGCTCTCTCCTTTCAGCTCCCGTTTCTCATTAGAGCCGGTAGTTTCTAAGCACTGGAGGGTGGGGACAGCTGTACCTTTGTGTCACGGGTTTCTGTGTGGCAGTGTGCACACTAATGGCATGCCTGAATGGCAGAATTTGACACTGATCCTGCAAAATGTGCTCAGGTCATGGTGCTTTCCAAATTGGCTGAGTCTCCACATCACCCTCTGCTCCTTCACCCAACGGTGTGGAGCCCCTGCCGGCTCCAGCTTCTGCTGCTTCTGCTGTCTCTCTGAGGGCCTCCGAGAAGAGAGGAAGCGAGACATGTATTAAACTCTTCAATCTCTGTAAGTACTATTTCCTGGAGACCCGCTCTGAGGAAAAAGGAAATGCACCATTAGGGGCCTAAACATGGAGGAGGTGTCTGGGAGTGGAGCCTTCATGACCCCTCCCCTTCTCCCCTCTGCTGGGGTAGTCATGGGCAAGACAATGATGCCCTCCAAGTGGCAGCACCCAGATGGCCTCTCACCACTCCTGCCAGAGAGAGATGTCAGGAATAATCACCAGCTGAGACTTTCTCAGTGCCAGGCACCTGGACACACCCACCAACGAGGACCCCAAAGGCAGGCATCCACAGTGCTGCTTAGAGAGACAAAGCACAGCCCAGTGGGCAGCCATGTGACATGGAAAGACGCAGGCTGCAGGATGCCATAGAGAGAGGCTTTTACACACGTAAACGCCCACCCACGCATGCGTATACCCTGCTCAGACACGGCCTCCCGTCATTCTCCCTCATACAACCAAGTATAGGACACTCATGTGGGTACAAGGCCCTAGCCAGGCCCTGGGATGCCTCAGTGGAGAAGACAATCTTTTTTTTTTGTCTTTTTCATTTTTATCAGTATCGAGGATCGAACTCATGACCGCCTGCTTGCGAGGCAGGTGCTTATGCCACTGAGCTAAATCCCCAGCCCCCGGAAAAGACAATCTTAATATACAGCATATTCCAGCCACGGAGGCAGAGGGTAGAATGCCAAATCCCTCTGTACTGGAGGCAGGGCAGTTGTCAGGAGAGGGGAACAGGGCCAGTCACACAGACATTACTTAGACATTGGCAGCCCTGGTCAGAGACTGCTGTGGGCTGGATCTGATATATGCACCCTTCAAGGCTCATCTGTTGGGGGCTTAGCTCCCCGTGCAGCAGTGTCAGAAGTGGAGCTGTTGAGAGGTGCTTGGATGGTACAGGCTCTAGCATCGTCATGGATTGATTAAAACACTGATGAAGTCAGAATTTGATGGATTGATTGGGAAAGGACAGAAACAGGAGTTGAGGCCTCGTTGAAAGGAGTGGGTCGTGGGGTGTGACCTAGGAAACACTCTGGTCTCTTGGTCCCTTCCTCTCAGGCTCCCTTACTCTCGCTGACCCTGTTATGAGGGTCAGCTATGAGGAGAGGAGCTTCGGTCCACCACACTCTTCACCGTTGAGGTGCTGCCTCACCACAAGCCTAAAAGCAATGAAACCAGAGGACCTTGGACTGAAACCTTGCAGCAAGTGAACTTTTCCTCTTTTAAACTGTTATTCTCAGGTATTTTGTCACAGCTTTGGAAAGCTCACAAAGGGATACAGGCAACCGTGTGGTTAGGGGGAAGATCAGGTCTGAGCCCTGACCCCTGGCCTTTTCCACTGAATCTGGTCCCTGAAAGTTTTTCTGACTTCTAATCAGTAGAGGCTCTGAAGAGGCTGGAAGCCTTCAGTCTCTCAGTGCCACGACCTGTGCAATATGTGGCCTGAGGCTCTGTGCTGCCCCCACCAACTGGGCCACATTGACATTCTCCCCCTGCACAAGGGGTCACAGCGGTCTCCAAGGTGTTTTTATTCTTTATCCAGGTATCGAAGCCTCAGAGGCACTGAGGTCCCTGACCCCTCATCTCGCCTGTCACTGGGAGAGTCTCTCACTCTTTTATCTGCGGCATTTAAAGTGCCACCGAGCGTCTGGCACTTTGTGAGTCAAAGGTACAGACTTTTCTGAATTTCCACACCAGCATCCTTTCCAGAAGCCGCCCCCCAGGCTGGCCTCGCTAGGACCTCTGTCGGCTACATGCGGAGTCCGTCACGGGAGGGTCCCACTGCACACTGCTGGAGCCAGGCGTTCTAGCTGGCAGTTGCTGTACAGTCCTTCTGCGGGGGCTGCTGCGGTGAACCTCAGGCCCATGTGCCATCTCGTTTGTCCTGCTGCTATCCTTCCCTGTCCCCTCGAGACCACGCCACAGATGAATGTCCCTCCCTATTTCATGAGGGGAGGGGTGACTACCCGAGGTCCACAGCTGGTGAAAAACTAGCTTCTCTCTCTGCCCCTTTGACCTCACACTGAGGTCAGTAGGAGGCCTCAGTTTCTCCAGGGATGGACCGCAAGCTGCCCCTCTGCCCACCCCTCCTCCACTTTTAGCTTTCTCACTCAAAAACAGCTTCATTTCTCAGAGCCACTGATCCACTCCAGCCCCTGAGACAGGCCCCCGCCGGGCCATGGCCTTGTCTTCTGGCTCATTTTCTTCCTCATCCGTCTCCTCTCCAAAGGCCAGTGGCAAGTTAAAATCAGAAAACAACTCAGAGCTTGAGAGTATTTCAGATTTTCAAAGCCCTCTCATAGACACAAACTCATAATAAATGGAAGTGGCCTCTCTGGGGAGATTTGATTATAACCCCAAGTTTGCGGATTAAAAGAAATGGGCCTTCTGGTTAACCAGATCTGTGCTTTGGAGCCCAAGACAGGCTGTGACCTAGGACAGATCTGCCTGCCCATCCTCCCCCAAGTGAAAGGAATCCAAGTGTTTCAGGTGCTCCCACACCCAGGCGTTCAGCAGTGGAGACCCCGTCCCACATCCCATGTAACCCATGTCTGGGGGAACCCAGCAATTCCTGTTCACCTCCAGGGATTTCAAGCTCTGAAGAGATGATTTGCAAAAGCCTCAAAGAGAAAGTCAGACCTGCCCTTTTGGTTTTCATAGAAGTTCTCTCTTCTGTTCTGATCCCTCAAATTCTCTTGAATAAGGTCACTGGGATTTTGGTCAACCCAGGTGGCCAAAGGAGCTGGCAACCCCCAACTCCACCCCAGCATGTCCCATCTTTCTGTCAGGTACAGAGTGCAATGGCAAAACACTCCCAGCTAGCCAAGCCTGCTCTTCAGTTTCTTCTTTTGCTTGTGTTTCTTTCTTTCCTTCCTTTGTTTATTTTCCTTCCTCCTTTCCCTCCTTTTTAAATGAAGGATTGAGCTCAGGAGCTTGTAGTGAGCTATATCCCCAGTCTTTTTTATTTTTTATATTGAGACAAGGTCTCAATAAATTGCTAAACTGCCTGGGCTGGGCTCAAACTTGTCATCCTCCGGCCTCAGTCTGCCAGAGTCCTGGGATTATAAATGTGCACTGCCAAAAACAAAAAAATAAAAAGAATAAATAAATGTGCACTGCCACCATGCCTGGTGGTGGTTTCTTCTGGTGATGGTGGGGCGGGTGGGAATTGAATCCAGGGCCCTGAATATTCTGGCAAGCTAGGCAGGTCTACCACTGATCTACATTTGCAGACTTTTAGGATCTAACTAACTTGCTCAGGCTCCTCCTACCTCAACCTCCTGAGTACCTGGGATCACAGGCATGTACCACGATGCCCACTGGTTTCTTCTATTTCTTGACAGCTGCAACTCATGTTAGTACAACAGATGCCACTAGTCAGACAGAAAAAGATCTGGACACATCATCCTTCTTCCCACAGAGCAGCATGCGCCTACCATTATGTAAAAGAGCGATGGTGGACACAGGGTGACTCAGAGCTTAAAATGAGAGTCCGTAGACATGGCTCAGTGGTAGAGCGCTTGCCTGGCATGCACAAGGCCTGGGTTCATCCCAGCACTGCAAAAGAAGAAGCGAAGCTCATGATGAGACCTGCAAGAATTTCTTAAAATGCTCCCCTTCCGAATTCCTTCCCCAGTGGCTCCAGTCTTTTCTCTTTTTTGTTTTTGGTACCAGGAACTGAATTTACAACCTTGTGCTTGCCAGGCAGGTTTTTGTGCCGCTGAGCGATACTCCTGGCCCCTACAGTTTTTATTTCTTTGTGATCCAAGTATTTTTGATAATTCCTGTTGGGCCTCTTCTCAGTGCTTTTGTGAACTCTGTGACTGTTCTGGGGAATTTGTATTTTCATTGTTTTTGTTTGCTTAAAAATTAACTTAAAATCTTCATATTAATTTTCAACCAAATAGGTCTATTTTGCTTGGAATATTTTCATAAATTTTAAATTTTTGTTCCCAATTTTAAGTTGTCTAGTAGCAAATTGGCTTTAAAAATGAATAGGAAAACACTAGTTCAAGTATTAATTTATCCTAGGTGATATTACAACCTTTCACAATTTATCTTAGGAAAGTTCTTTCATTATTTAACTTTTATTTTAGAATTAATGACAGGTTAAGAGGAATTGAAAAAAGTACAGAGAAGTGTTACCCAGTGATAAAGACATTAAAAAGAGGAAAATAAAGACGGTGGGGTGTGATGGTAGGTGCCTATGATTATACTTCAAGAGGATTGCTGCGAGTCTGAGACCAGCTTGGGCTACACAGTGAATTCAAGGCCAGGCTGAATTGCATACGAGATCCTTTCTAAAAACAAAAGCAAAAACAAAACAACAACAACAACAACAAAAACCCAGGAAAACACAAGAAAAAGAAAATAATATTACATTATTTTGTCTTTTAAATTTATTTTCAGTTAATGATGTTTATAACTAAGGTTAGGTCAAGTGTTCTTACACTGAACCTACTTTGGTAAGGTAAAGCTTCCAATAGGTGCTTTCAGAAAGGAAGAGTTTATTGGCTCTACTATTTCCTAAGGAAACATTAGGATTTTTTTTTTTCCTTTTTATCGGTACCAGGGATTGAACTCACGTGCACCTGCTTGCAAGGCAGGTGCTTATGCCACTGAACTAAATCCCCAGCCCCTGAAACATTAGGATTTTGATGGGGAGGAGTACTGGGGATTCAGGAGTACTGAACCCAAAGTCTTTACACTGCGCCTCATCCTCCTATTTTCTTTTCTTTTTTAAAAATAGTCTTGCTAAATCACTAAGTTGCCCAGGCTGGGCTCAAATTTGTGAAGTTTCTGCCTCAGCCTTCCAGCGTGCTGGGATTTCAGGCCTGTACCACCACACCTGGCTGATGGGAAGCCTTTTGGGGCATGTGCCAACGTCTAGAGAGAGTTTTTCACCAGATTCTACGAAAGAGCTTCTATCCAAATGGGTTCAACCTTCTACTAACCCTAGGGGAGGCCACCCTTCCCCACACTGATGGGTAGGTGGAGCCCTGCCTCTGGGCGGGTGACCCTCCACCGTCCCTACCAAACGGACACTGAGAGCTGCAGCAGCTTGGCAGAGTCATTCTGGTTTTTTTTTGTTTGTTTTTTTTTTTTTCATTTTTATCGGTACCGGGGATCGAACTCACAACTGCCTGCTTGTAAGGCAGGCGCTTATGCCGCTGAGCTAAATCCCCAGCCCCAGCAGAGTCATTCTGGACTAACTTGTCCTTCAGTCCATTTGGTTTCAAGAGAATGGGCTCTTCCCCGCTCTCACAGGAGGGGCATGGTTGGGGGCGTGGAGGACAAAGGGCCTAGGAAACAGAGGCAGCATTTAAACCCTTTCATCTCTTTTCTCTGCCCCCTGCCCACCCTCAAAGCCACACAGCCAGCAGACACAAGGCTCACCACAAAGTGTTTCCCAAGTGCTAGTTTGATTTTTTAAATTTATTTTATTGTCTTTTTGAGGCAGGGTCTCACTTATGCAGTTCAGGCTGGCCTTGAGCTCACTTTGTAGCCTGGGCCAGTCTCGAACTTGCAATGACCCTCCTGCCTCAGCCTCCCAAGTGCTGGGCTGATAGGCGTGCGCCACCACGCCTGGCTCCAAGTGCTAGTGCGTAAACAAGGGGAGCCTGTGATTACGATTTCACCTCTTTGCAACAAAACATTAACGCAGTGAGCTTCTCATTAAGCCAAATTTATTCAATCTAAAGATAATCCTTTATTCTGAAGTTGCATCCTTTTATTTGATTGGAGGAGTGTTCTAAAAAGTTCTTTTTGAGCTAGTGGTATTGGTGCAAACAACTATTCTTTCTCAGGGTCTCTAGTTGGACAAAGAAAATATTGGCAACCCTTCGAATTCTTCCTGGGACTTTGCTGCCCTGTGGGATCCCGAAACTCTGGGAATGGTGGTTTTAAGGGAGCCTGGCAGTATGGTCCTTACCTTATGCCGTCCCCAGCCCTACTCAGGCCTGGGGGCTGCTTACCTGTGCCGCCCTCTGGCGCAGCCTCTTTTCTCTTTATCTCTTGTTTCTCCAGTATTTGTAGGCAATTACCTGCAATCACCAGCCAATTACCCTCAAAGACAATTACACTCTTCCATCAGCAAACACTGATGCTCTTTTCCTGGGTCTTTTAATGAAGCTATATAAAGACAGGCTTTATTTACATGAAGTCAAATGGCTCCCTTTTTGGACAGTTTGGGTTTAATGTCAAAGTTTTAAAATTTTAACTAGGGGATGGGTGTTTGGCACTTCTGGTTGAGGTAGAGAAGGACTTGGAAGGACTTTTTCCGGAACTGCTTTAAAAGGTAAGATGCCCAGGGGAGCAGTACGGAGAGGGGCCTCCTTCCCCAAGCTAATGAGTTCTAAATGTCTGAGTGAAATCGTGCAGAAGAGCCCGGCTCTCACTGACCACAGCTCCAGTGTTCCCTTCCCCCAGCCATCCTTGGGGACCTGCGGAGCTAATCGCTTCAGGGAGCCAGAGTGGAAGGTGCTCCCACCCTCCGCTGCCCAGAAGGGCTTTTTCTAGGGTAAAGGCTGATCCAGACTCACCGTGGCACCTGCCAATCATCAGGCCAGAGGTGCTGGCGGGGAAGGACCTAGAAATAACTCCATTAAAGTCAGTGTAGGAGAAAACAGGGGAGAGGCTACAAATTTATCTCTTCGCCAGTGCCCCTGTCTATGCTTTGGGCCTTACCTGGGGACTATTTGTACTTGAGTCATCATGGGCAATGCAAAAGCAAGGTGCAACTTCTTTCAAAGGTAGAAAAAAATACACTGAAGTCTGCTCCTGCTGGGTTTATAAAGAGCTGTTTTCTTCCTGAGCTCTATGGCATGGTGGCTCTAATCTGAAATTTCTTTTTAATCATAGCAGGAGTCCCAATTAGCGTGTTGGGTAATCTTTCAAGTAGAACTGGGAACTCCATGGCCGCAGAGAGCAGAGGCAGTAATATATGTGAAGCCCCTGAGAATCAGGGCAGAGAAGGCAGTGTGGGGGCTTGTGTATACATGTGTGCCAGTGAACATGGGCATCCACAGGCCAGCTCTCCACTCTGTCCAAGACCACATATGTGGACCCTGGATCCCTTGACCCCCAACACCATACCAAGACCACAGGACTTGGCCACAACCAGGAGGCAGTGTGCCAAATCCCACATACCCACACTTCCTTCTAAGGCTATCGTGGGAAGGGGGAAAGCTGTTTGCAAGGCAGTGGACACAGAGTCTGGGGGTGTCCCTCTGCTCTCCATGAGACGGGCTGCACCCCAGACTCCGTGGACACTATGGCCAGCTCTGATCCAGCACTGTCAGTGACCTACTTTCCTTTGTTGTTGTTTTTGGAAGTGCTGATGTCAATGCAGAATTCAGCAGAGAGGTTGAGTGAGAAAAGAGAAGGGGTGGGGAGAAGGGAGAGAAGGGGAGGGATGGAAAAGAGCGGGGAGCAAATGAGCATTGGATGGAGATAATGGTGGCAAGTTAGCTGCAGCAGCGCTAACCACGCCCTGTTACTGTCCCCACAGGGCCCGCCCGATATAGCTGGGCTCAGGCTAGGCCCTGTGACTTTGGGCTAAGTAAACAAGGAAGAGGCTCCAAACAGCTTCCTCTCTCTCCACACAGAGGGGAAGGAGGTGGTGCCCAGGCAGGCATGCCTAGATGCGCCTGCCACCGGATAGGGAGACTGGTGGGCCGGGCACCTCCACATTCTCCCTTGGTACCTGGAGGGGCTAGGTTTGCAGCCTTCTCTCACGCCATTGGAGAGCTGCCGAGTCACAGCCACCCGGGCACTCGGGACTTGGTGGAGGTTCTCTCCAATTGCTGGGGCTGGAGGAAATTGGTCTTTGGGGACAGAGAAGACAGTTTCCTCTGTTCGCTTGCTCCTTGGTAACCCACATGACAGAGCTCCACCGGCAGCTCTCAGCTACCATTTTCAGGGCCCCTGGAGGGAGCTGTGAGGCTTCAGGGTGAGAAGCACCCCAGCCATCCAATGCAGGTCACCAAGACTGCAGAGAATTACTGCAACGCTGCCTGCTCTTCTGCAGTCCCAAACTGCCTGGCTTCCCCATTCCACAGTCAGAGATGAACTCCAGCTGTGAGGTGGTGGCATCTCTGTGCTTCTGGCCCATTTGCAAATCCCAGCTGTGACACTATTGTCTCAGCACTGGCTACTGAACAGAACCTGTGGCCGAAGCATCCGGCCACTTCTCCCGGGCTGAGCTCTTCCTTAAGACATGTGGTGAACAGATACTTTGTCTTTCTTTTTGCAGGACTAGACCCAGGGCCTTGTGCTTGTTTTCCCACTGAGTTTCCTCTTGTGCTGAGGTTTTGCTAAGTTATCTAGGCTAGGCTTGAACTTGAGATCCCACTGCCTCATATGCTTAGAATCATAAGCATATACTACTATACCCAGCTATCAGACTCTTCATGCTAAAACAATTTCAGAGCCACATTTTTTTTTTTTTTTTTTTTTTGTCTTTTTCTTTTTTATCGGTACCGGGCATCGAACTCACGACTGCCTGCTTGCAAGGCAGGCGCTTATGCAGCTGAGCTAAATCCCCAGCCCCAGAGCCACATTTTTATGACCCTGAGATTCATAGGCCTCACAATTTTGCATATATGAAGCATTTCCCCTACATGTCAAAGGGCCTCTGTTTAGGTGGGGCTGGGAGTGAGCTGGGTTAGACCCTTCTGCTCTTTCTCGGACCTTTCAGCCCCCCAACATGCATGGCACACGATTAAAGCCGTTATTCTCTGCTCCATAAGCTCATACATTTTTCAGATATGGAGGAGACAAAGCCGCATAGGCTGAAATTAAACCCCGAAAAATAGGTTACCTGACAATTACTTGTTTCTAAGTGGAGCATGATCTGGTGGCGGGAGCTGGCAGGAGCGCTGGGTGGGCTGCTGGGGCTGTGCCTTCTCCTCCCAACTTAGTGCCTCTTAACCTCTCTCAGTCCCTTGGTTTCGAGGCGGGATAATAATTCTCCCCACCTCCCGCCCTCCACGGGCTGGTGGAAGGCGTAATGAATCAACATCTGAAGCACTCTGAAGAGGCTGGGCTTGGGATGTCGTGTAAGTACACAGCATCACCAGCCACCTCTCGAATCTACATCGAGCTGATTTATTTACCTCCCGTGAAAGAAACAACAATCATCATATTTACACTTCATGCAGTAGCTTCCTGCATTTCTCCACAGCACCCCTCTCTGCATTGCTAAGGACTCCATTAAACCTGCTGCCTTTCCAAGGAAGAGACTCTCCTCTCTCAGCCTCTCTCTTGCCTTAGGGACCACAGCCTTCTCCACCTCACAATCAGCTGCCACAAACCGCTGTACATGAGAGGCCACAGCCTCTCCGGGGGAGGAAGAAGAAATGAGTTCTATAGGCAAAAGAGGCTTCCTTGGAAGTCAAACCCTGCCAGTAATTAAGAAGCGAAGCAGAGGTGCGTGAAAGGTAAATGGATGTTATTTAAATGCTGCATCATTTAAAGAGTACCAAGGCACTCCAGTTCCTCATTACCACGCAGGGCTGGGCCAAGGGTTGGTGGCAATTAGACTGGTGCAGGTGGGGCTAACCTGCTGGGCCAGGACGCACCTTTCAGTTATTGCTGTTGGAGGCAGAATTGGATTTTTCCCTCCTTTCTGGCTTTTGACAGCCCCCTTCATTTTCAGTAGCATTTAGTTCTTGACGGGCTTACACAGAAAATAATATTAAAAGAAAAAGAAAAAAGAAAGGAGAAGGATGAAAGAAAAAGGTTTGAAAGGTTCTTATTAGTTATAATAATTTGGAAGGTCCTCAGACATCAGAGCCTGGCCTGGAGAATCCAAGATGGCCAGCACATATGATGTTTTGTTGCAAGAGTCCTGTGCAAGAGCTCCTTGGGTGCCAACTCCCCAGAGAAAGGATGAAGGATGTCTCTCAGAGCACAGCCCAGGGAGTGATTTCCCCAACACTGATGCATAGGGGATACGTCAACAGAGGTTCCCTCAAGAATGGCATCTCTGTTTCTATGCTGATCCTGGGCTCCTCAAGAAGAGACACTTCTGTCTGGAATGCAGGCAGGGGCCGCCAGAGCTCCAAGAACAGCATGCCAGGGTTCTGCTCTGCTCCTAGGAGAAAGCAGGGGACTAGGACTGGTGGTGGAGGTAGGGCGGAGAAACCCAGCATTTCCACCCCTGCAGCAGGACCCACCTGTAGGCTCTTGCAAAACAGCACATCCTGGCTCCTGCTTGGCTCCAAAGGCATTCACTGCTGGGTTGCCAGCTTATCTCCCCAGTGCTTTCAGGATCAAAACCCTCCAACTCGTTAGCTAAAAACTTTGCTGAGGGAACAATACCCACCAAGGTGCAGAACACGGTACCAACTTTCTCATTAGAGTGTCTTTCAACGTGAAAACTCACTGCCGATGACCATGGGCACTCGGCCACTGCAGTTTAGTGTAAGATGCTGAAGAAAGGAGAGGAAAACAGCTGTGTCCAGGTCAAAACACATTAAATTCATGGCTGGCAGAATGTGGCCGAAAACTGTTGACTGCAGGCTTGGTGTTGCTTTTTCTGTTCTTGAAAGAGGTTTCCGAAAATGTTCTTCCTGTTGGAGATGTGCCTCCCCCGCCCTCAGGAGGACTTGGCCCCTCTTGTGATGGCCTTGTGTTCTTTGGAGCTGTAGCTGTCATTAAGTGAGGTTTTTAAAAAATGAGTCACTAAGCATATTGTAGCTGAAGCAGAAGAAAGCAGACACGAGGAACTAACTATCTGGGGGAAGAGGAGAAGGTATAGGACTGTGCTGTACAGGGAGAATTCCACCAGAATAGTCCAGGAGCAAAGGAGTCCAGTTGTTAAGAAATAAGATAGAAGGCAGAATGAGCCCCTGGTTCCCCTCCCTGACCCAGCCCAAGAAATATGAGAGAATTCAAGATGAAAGACAGGCTGTGTGGGGTTCCTAGGGCTGCTAAAAATGTGCCCACAAACTGGGTGGCTGAAAATAGAAGTCTATCTATTCTATCCAGTCTTCCCTAATCCAAGACGATCTCTTCCTGAGTTCCTTAGCATAACACCATCGGCAAAGACCCTTTTTCCACATAAGGTCACACTCACAGGTTCTGGGTGTACCCGTCTTGGGGAGGCACTATTTAATCTCCTGTGCTGGCCAAAGCCATCTGGAGATCCACTTGCAGGACAGAGCCTTCTGTCTGAATCTTCTACCTGCTGATGGGAATTTCTCAGCAGTCCTCGGGGATTCTGTGATTTGGGGTCCATTACAAAGCCACAGGGACATCTATCCTTTCCTCAAAGTCACACTGTACCTTCCAAAGCCATTTTACTGTCTCCAAATGTCACTGGGCCGTGAGTCCTTTTTCCCTGAAGTTGTTTCTAGGGTGATTGGGAACACAGAGAACACCATGCCCACAGGCACCCTAGAGGGACCAAAGGGACCAAAGGGAACCAAGCATGGAAACCAAGCTGCTCCTTCTCACCTAGAGCCCTGTATCTTGCAGGTCAAGGTTAGAGCTTTGTTTCCCTCTGCAATGCTTTCCAGACAGAATTTCTTCAAGGAAAAAGGATCATTCTAGAAAGCAACCTATTAGGCAATTGGATAGCTCTGACCATTAGATAATACTTTCTTCCGTTGAGGCAAAACCATCCTGCCTGCAGTGCTACCCACCAGTGTCCCAGATTTGCCTTCATGAGTCCTAAAAATGAAGGCCACCACCAGGTTCCAGAAGCTGCCTCATTCTGATCAGTTGAGGGCTTGAAAATGTCCTGCACAAGTCTCAGGGCACCAATAGCTGGGCCAGATCCATCACAAGGACTTCAGTCTTTCCTGGTGTGTGGGTAACAACCATCAGTGCTATTTTAAAAATCTATTCTGCTAAAAAAAAATCTATTCTGCTATTTGCATATTATTTCTAATCCTCACAACAAGCTGGAGGGCACTGACATCATCCCTGCTTCATATTCGAGAGAATAGATTTTGAGGTCAGGTACATGGAAGATATAGGATTTGAACCCAGAATTGTCTGACTACAGAGTCAGATTATCTTCTCCGTGTGCTGCCTCCCTCCTGGGCAAAGAAACAGCCTGCCTCCTACACCCCGGGGGCTGGAGAATAGGGATAGAATGGATGTCCTCAAAGTGGGGTGAGGAGGAAGCAGAAATTCAAGCTTTATGTCTAAACCAAGCAATAATGTTTTATTTCCATTTTCTTGAACATATAGTTCAGTCACACTTGATTTAAAAAAAACCTTACTGGTTTTTGAGAAATGTCAAATATTACATTTCAGTGGATGTATACAGAACAATCAAAATTCTGAACATCCCTAAACAGATGCAGACCTTCATCAGTTTCTTCCAAAGGCACATCACTGGGGTTTGAAAAGAGCAGTTCTAGGGGCTGGGGATTTAGCTCAGCGGCATAAGTGCCTGCCTTGCAAGCAGGCAGTCGTGAGTTCGATCCCTGGTACCGATAAAAACGAAAAAAAGAAAGAAAGAAAGAAAGAAAAGAGCAGTTCTTGGGTTGGGGATTTAGCTCAGCGGCATAAGCGCTTGCCTTGCAAGCAGGCGGTCATGAGTTCGATCCCCAGTACCGATAAAAAGGAAAAAGACAAAAAAAAAAAAAAAAAAAAGAAAAGAGTAGTTCTTGTTTCCAGCCCAGTTGATTTCTCTCACATGTAAATACTTATCTCCAAAAGAGATGCTCACTCAAAGGAGAAAATCAAAGATATTTGTCCTTATCTAGGGGGGATGTGTTCCCAGACCCCAAATAGAAGGTTGGAACCTTAAATGGCACCACACTTAATACTATGGTTTTTCCCATACATATGTACCCATGATAAAATTCAGTTTGTAAACTAGGCACAGCCAGGCATGGCGGCACATGCCTATAATTCAGCACTGGGAAGGCTGAAGCAGGGGCATCAATGTGAATTCAAGATCAGCCTGGGCTATGTAGTGACTTTCAGGACAGTCTGGACTACACAGTAAGATACTGCCTCGAAAAAAAATTAAGCAAAGTAGATTAGCAACTATAACTAATAATCAAATAAACCAATTATAATGAGCTGGGCATGGTAACATATGCCTATAATCCCAGGATTCTGAGAAGCTGAGGGAGGAAGAGTTCAAGTTCAAACCTAGTCTGGATAATTTAGTGACACAGCAAGACCTTGTCTTGAAAAATAAGGTAGACACAGAAGCGGGAGATGTAGCTCAGTGAGAAGGCTATGAGTTCAGTTCTCAATATCGCAGTTCGCAAAAATAACAACAATAATAATTTATTGTAGTGAAGGTTACGTGACTATGGCTCCTTTAACTCCCAAACTGTACTGTACTCATCCCTCTGTGATGAAGTGAGATGACACGCACCTATGGGACAAGACGAAGAGAACGACGTAGGCATTGCGTTGTAACAATAGGCTGCTCCTGACCTTCTCATTGATCTCTGTGAGGCTGCGCTGAGCAGCACAGTGAGAGCTCACGACATCCTCTTCCACCCTGCTGGAGGGGGGGAATCATCCTTTGGTCCCCCATATCTGTGACAGCTGCAATACCTTGTCCATTAGTCCTGTAGTAGCCATCTTGGGTTGTCCTATCACGGCTTCGCTATGCTTCTGTGCAAGTAACCGTCAGAACAGTGTGCAATCTAAAGCTTATGAGTTGTTACTGGAATTGTTCATTTAGCATTGTCAGACTCCTGCTGGCTGAGAGTAGAGGAAGTGAGACAGCAGGTGAGGGACACCTCTGCAATTCTTGTCCCTGCTCATGTACAGAGCCTTTACGCTTTCGCCTTCTCCGAGAGCACTGGGCTGGATCCTCACCTCCACCTCTGAGGTGGGAGGGGCAGGTCTCACCTCGCTGGACAGATGAGGACAGTAGGAAATGAAGCGCGGTCCCCTGAGAGAGGCAAGAGTGTCATCAGATGTCCTCTTCTCTCCACTGTCCTCCCCGAAGGGTTTTCATGGACTGTTTTCAAGTTTCAGAGTCACTTGATACCTCAGCACAGAGTTGGG